ATATATATATATATATATATATATATATATATATTTGGCGGGCCAAGTGGGGAAGGGAAAATAGGAAGAAGAATAGCAAATCAATATATATATATATTATGAGAAACAAAACCAGGGAAAGAAGGACGGCTGTTTCGCATATCTTTTTTTTTGTTATTGTGTGTGTATATATATCCGCAGCATCCATGTACCTCATGAGTGTTTGTTGTTCCTCTCGTTGTTTTCTGCTTCTTCAACGTTCACCCTGTACTTTCACTTAGGACGTACTGTGCTTAGACGAAATACAATCATTATCATTAAAGAGGAGTTGTGCGGTCCCATTAAACGGGATGGGGGGTGCAGAACTCCAGCGTGTATATGTGATTTTGTTTTGGTATAGCATTTTCCTTGTGTGCATTGGTTTGTATTGATCTTTTTTTTCTTTTTTTTTTCTTGATTCAGGACCCGCGTAGCACCACCTGCAACCGTAAAGGAGGAAGAGGTGTGCGTCAGGCGAAACGTGCATTACAGGGAGCCGCTGCAACGGCGTTTCGTATTGTCACGAATAGTCACAAGGGATGTTGTCGCGCATCAAGAAACAGCAGGCGGAGGTGCGCGAGGGCGGCAGCCAACTCCGCAGCTCTGCTGGTGGGGGCGTCCCCGCAACGGCGGGTAACGAACCCGTTGCGATTCTACGCCTCAAGAAGGACCTGGACAACCTTGATGGCGTCCGAAGCAAGGTGGAAATTCCCGACCCGCACAACATGCTGCGGATGAAGGTGACTGTAAAGCCACCGTACCCGTCCATTTGGCAGGGCGGCATCTTTGAGTTTGCGCTGGAGTTTAGGGAGGACTACCCGTACGAGGGGCCGAGGGTCCGGTATTTGGGCCCCTACCGCATCTGGCATCCAAACATCGAGGGGGACGAATTTAGCGAGGCCGAAGGCGGAGTGAGACGAGGTGTAAAGAGTGCCTGGGGAGTGTGTCTGAGCTTCCAGACCGGCTGGAAACCAACAATGAGTTTGCGGGACATTATTATCATGATTGAGCTGCTGTTTCAGGATCCCAACCCCGATGATCCTCTCCACGGAACCGCCAAACAGGCGGCACAGATGATGAAGGATAATCCCGTGCGATTTAGAGAAAAGGCGCGACGATGGATGCAGGGTTTTTACATTGAGTGATTCCCCTTCCCCACCCCACTTATGCATCCGCTGCACCGCTTTCTGTCATTCTTGAACAGGCTTGGCGCTTGAAGTGTGGAGAAGCAGATTTACGCGAAAGTAGGGTATGGTTTGATAACGATGCGGGTTTAGCTTTGTTTATTTGCCCGCCTGCGCCTTTTGCCACTCTTTCTCTCCGCGCGATCCACGTAGGATGTACCCCAATGGTCGGTTGAACTCAGTGAACTGGAGCTGGATGCACTCCACCTCTCTGTGTATGTATGCCTCTTTTCCTTCACTCTCATCACTTTTTCTACTCCCACACACGTACACGCACACAAGTAATTGGGCTCTGTTGTAGCGCCCCATTTACAAATACAGAAAGGGAGAGAGATGTGTGCGTCTTTCTGTGAATCCATCACCACCGCGCCATGGCGGACGAAAAGCGCGGGTCACAGTCAGACGACGTCACTTCCACCCCAACCTTTGCTGTGGGATTTAATCGTCCCAAGTCGTCGGGTACATCTTATATGAGCGGTGGTGGTGGCGAGGTATACTTCAACCCGGCGAATCTATGGAAGTACGTACTACGCTACTTTCGCGAGGAGGCGAGTCGGCAGGATGTTTCTGCTGTGACTACGCTTGGGCCAGGCCACCACTCCCGCCCGCCGCAGTGGATGGAGGACAAGAACGTCTCCATTGATGGCACACTTCTCACGGAGGAGGAGCGTCGTACGTCTAACTTTTGGCAGGCGAAGTACTGACAACAACTGAATGCGAGGGAGGCCATTCAAGAAGTGAAGCGCGTGAAACGGATAGAACCATCGCACGACGTTATAGGTTCCTTCGCGTGAGTTGGCCGTCGGGTGGGATGGATGGAACCATTAGACGAGCAGTATGCACGGCAGCAGGTGGAGAGGCGCTACCGCGCGCTAGAAAAGAGCATTGAGTCGCGATGAACAGGAAATTGCGGAGGAGCGTCCGGGGGGTTGCAAGGTGGGGTTTACGACCCCGTGGAAGGTTGTCCTTGAGTCTGTGGAGACCGGACGGCCCATCGTAAAGGTGGCAAATGAGTATCGACCGTGCGTGGATTTTTATGGTCTGGGCCCTTTTTTGGACTCCTCACTCTCACTTATTTGGTTCACTACAAAGTGCAGAATTGTCATGGGTATTGCACAGGGGATGATCAAGGCCATTCAGGCGATGAATGTCGACGTGCAGTTTCTCAAGGCGTCAGGTGTGGGCGTCCTGTCAATTCTAAACATGTCCGTCTTTGCAAGTGTCGTTAAGTGGGGTGGCAACTGTGCCCTCTTCTCGGCGGTGTTCCGCATGGGAGACCGCCTGGCCACAATGATGAAGTACAGACTGCTTCCACCCCACAACACCCAGCAGCGGAGTACGTCAAACTACGTCATGGGTCTCGCCATGTCAGGTGGGACGGTTGGCATCATGCCATGGTAGATTCTAGGCGATGTCAGTCTCGCTTTCCGCCTCGGCGCCTCTGGGGTTTTTCTGGGCGGCTGCTTGGGCCTCGGTTTGGGCACCGTCATCAGTCACCTGGTTGTCCTTAACACCGCACGTCTTGAGGCAACGAACAGGGAGCTGCGGCGCTACGAGGCGCTGATGCGGCGTCGGCGAACATGGGCAGACAGGGAACGTGAAAAATGCGAGGTCAGACGTTGGTATGGTGGTGAGCCTGGCGGTGGCGGCGGTGTTGCTGCGACGCATGCATGGGGGATAGGTAGCTGTGGTAAGGGGAAGTGGGGGAGGTGCAGAAGGAATGGTGGTAGGGGAAAAATCGATAACTGCGTGGAATGCAGAAGTGAGTTATTCGTTATTGTTTTTTTTTTTTTTGAGGAAGTTTTTTCATGGTGGTTTAACGGTCTTTTTTTTTTTTTCCCCTTGTCTCTCTTGTGTTGTTTCTTCCTTACGCCGTGCACACGGGCCCCGTCTTGGGATGGAAGAAAACTCTGGAGGGGCAAGTGATGAGCAGACGGTCGTCTGCAGGTGCTGTCGCCCTCAAGTGACACTGTCATAGCGTCATTGACGCACTTGGCGCAAGGAGTCCACCGGAGGCATTTCTCTTCCGTGGGAACGCCTACTTTGCGCTGGGACAGCCATATTTTGCCGTTGCGGACTACAACACGGCGGTACAGGTGCTGCAGCTGTCTGGTCAGCATCAGGCGACGCTGCTATGAGGCGCAGGCGCAATTTCCAGTGTACCAGATTGGCACCTACCCTGCCGATGACCCCCACCTCCACCTCTACTGTACATCCGTGCCTGAGTGAAAACTGTGAGGTGACGCAGATAAACGCAGCGATGGGACGTGGCGTAGTGGCCAAAAAGAATCTTTTACAGGGGTCTGTTGTGATCCGAGCTGCGGCGCCCTGGATACGATACCCAACAGATGATGGTCTCTGTGCCTTTTGTACGAAGCCTCTGCTGGAACGCTTCTTCACGTGCACAAATCCAAACTGCCATGAAGAGTACTGCAGTAGAGACTCTAGAACAATGGTTCTTTCCCTTTACCAATCTCGCTCGTGCAACATTGGAGGGGCTTCAGGCCCTTGAGCTGGACATGTACACACAGATGAAGGCCTCAGGGACGAGTACAGCAAGGAATGCGGCAGCGGCGCAGCTTCTCATGTTGCGCATCCTGGCTGTGTCGCTACAGCAACAAGTGATTCCGTTCCATCTGCTCTGAGTGAGCTGCCCATCCTCTCTGGGTGTTTGTTGTTTAGTCCCAGGGCTCTCTCGGAAATGTTTCTGGAAATATACGAACGATTCACCTGCTCCTGTCATACCGTCACCTCAATTTCATACGAGGAAATAATTGGCGTGTTGGCGCGTGTTATCGCAAACTGTTTTCATCGCGAGACGTGTGCTGAGTTGAGCCTTTCCCGCTCCATGTTGAATCACTCGTGCGTCGCCAACGCCGCGGAGGACCCAAATTCAGGGTAAATTAAAACAATGCGGGACGTCGCACGTGGGGAGGGGCCTACCATCAACTATTACCCACAGCTGGAGCACCTGGCGTTTGAGGAGCGCTCAAAGGGGCTCGAGCGTCGTGGGTGTGTGTGCAGCTGTCTACACTGTCAGAGGGAGAAAAGATAGGGGGCAAACAGTTGAAAGAGGCGTCAGCGCAATAAACTGGAATAAGTGGGATATACGTTTGTGGCGGGGGTCATCCCTTGCCTATTTATCGCGCTTTGTGTTGTCACACCTTAGTCGTTGTTGATGTTGTTTCTCTTTGCTTTACATGTCATTGAGATTCCGTCTCTCTCCCCCTTTGTTTCTCCCTGTGCGTGCGTGGGCATGAGTGTGTGTTTGGATCTTGCTGCAGTTGACCAACGACGGCGCCCCTTGGGGCAGTCACTGTGAGCGTTGTTTCATCCTCACTTTTTTTTTTTACGTTTTTCCCGTATGGGTGTTTGTGGGGGTGCAGCCCGGGTTAGGTGTGTAGGCAGGCCTGATGCTGAAGACGGCCCTGCTTCTGGACGGCAGTGAGGCGATGAACAGTTCCGCCGATTACCTGCCCACACGGTTGCTTGCGCTGCGTCCTCAGCTGGGTAAATTTGTCCATACATACCTTGGCGCCAACCCGCTGGCCTCTCTTGGGGTTGTCACGATGCGGGATGGTGTGGCGCACCGCCTTAACTCCTGCACCACCAACACCTCAGACATCCTCCAAACGTTGGAAGTAAAGTATTTTCTTTTCGGAGGGTCTGGGGCAATGTCGCTGGAGAATGGGCTTCGCCTGGCCCTCTCAGAACTTGTGGATCTAAAGCGCATTGCCAAGCGTGTGCGACAAACCGAGTCCAATGACATCGGCAGAGAGGCACGAGAGGAACCCGCGGCGCGGCTGCGAATTCTGTTGGTCTCCTCCTCGGTCACCATTGTGGACCCACATGATGTTTTTAACGTGATAAAAATGTTGGCAAAACTTCGCGTGCGTGTCGACGTGATTTCATTTTGCGGTGCTGTGCATGTGTTTGAGGCGGCGGCGACGGCTACAGGTGGGACGCTCTACACTCCCATGAACTACGACCACCTCAGTGAGGTCTTGGGGCGGCTTTCAACTCCTGATAAATCTCGCTCTTGCCATGAGGAGAAACCGATGATGATTCCTGTTGGATTTCCGTGCTATGCTGAACGCGAGGAGCCGCAAGAAGCAGGAAGCGGCGGAGTTACGAAGTATTTGGCATGCCCGCAATGTGGGCTGATACAGACATCCATTCCATCTACCTGCCTGCTTTGCAAGTTGCTGCTGTGCAGCGCCCCGCTGCTTCACACCACCTTTGTTGCTCACAATGAACTTTGTGCCGCTTCTAGCAAGGCAGGAGGTGCATCGGAGGGTCCAAGCAAACTTATGGACGATACTTTTGGTGAGCGGTGCTCGCTGTGTCAACTTGGAATGCAGGACGAAGATGGAAAGACACTTGTTTGGCAATGTAACTCCTGCCGCTGCATGCGTTGTGCCTCGTGTGAAAAGTTTGTTCGCGAAGGCATAGGCCTTTGCCCAATCTGCATTGCTGCTCCATTATAATTGGACGGGTCAACCTCACTGGGAAGGGAGGTCGATGTGGCATAGGCTATCTCCATATGGGTCTGAATATAAGTGCAGCGAAGGTGTGTGTGTGTGTGTGTGTGTGTGTGTGGATGGCGAAACTGTTTAGTTCTTACTGCTTCTTTTGTGGTCATTATGCTGCGTCGCTCACGAGTGTGCGTGTGATTGGCTTTTTGTTTCTGGGTTGGGCTCTGCTCTTTGTTCTTACTCTGCCATCTATGTTGGCTCGCACCTACGCAACGTGGTAGCCGATTTTCACGGCTGTGCCGTGTGTTACATGCATATAGCGGGGTAGAGGTGGGGCAGAGAGCGAAAGTGAGCGTTTCTTCTGCAACTTCACTTTGGCTGGCAGCCCGGTATGTTTTGGCAAAGTCGGTTCCGCGCCACCTTGTCGTCCTTGTCATTGCCCGCAGCGTTGGTCCCGTCCACGTGGAGGCGCCACAGGAATTGTGCGTAGCCAAACTCTTCTCTTTTTTTGAATCACAGCGCCTAATACGCCTTTCTCGGGCAGACCATGGCGCTTGCCGAGGAGGTGCACTGTATTCCGCGTCTGGAGTGATTTTACGCGGAATTGTACTTCACGTAGCCTCCCACCCCAGCTGCGGAGCTGCTGGCGTGTTACATGAATGACCAGGAGCGTCTGCGCTGCGGGTTGCACAACGAGCCCCCCGGGACGAGCGCATCTGGGATTCAGTGGAGTGAGGAGCTGCATCGACGGGTGGAGCAGCGCGCCACGGAGGATTTTTGCTGGATTCTGACGGCGGATCATAGAAAGACGGAGAAATTTTTGCAGGAAACGTACTTACAGTGGCATCACCGGGATGATTATTTAGTCACACGCGAGAGCCGAGAAAAGAAGAAGTTTCGCCAGGATTTGACGCTTCAGCAGGTCATACAAGAA